TGTATTTGGTTGTATATGGTGGTATGGGAAATTAGGTTGTAAGTGTAGTGCAAAAACTCCAAATTAGGGGCTAAGGTACCAAAAAGGAACCTTAAATTCCTGCCTTAGAGCGCTAAAGCGTGCTATATAGGCATTTTAACACGCTAGGGTTGAAAGATCCCCTGATGGTTCAGTTTCATTGCGTTTTAAGCGCTGGAAACGCACTTTGACACACTAGCTTTCTGGTTAAGCGCGTATTAACGTGCTCAGAGTGCTCTTTGATGCATTAGTGCGCTTTGACGCGCTATACCTAGGAAGATTGCACCTGTTCTGCGCGTTAAAGCACGCTTCAGGGCACTTTAATGAGCTGGACCAATTACTATTTTCTATCTTTTACCCCTCAAGGCTTGTGTGAGCCACTTGTTATGGGGTTATAAGCTTATGTGGGACTCTCCTACCCAATTTAACCATTGTAACTAATGATTTAGGCGTAATAAATGTGAAATGAACTTATTTATTTAAAAAGAAAAAGTTTATTCACATTTTCACTATATCTACCTTTTATTTCTCAATCTCATATACAAAGATGTTATCTTATCTCTAATTAATTGTTTAAGAAATGAATTTAGCTGCGCTTGATACCATATTTGAGTTAATACACCGGGTGCACACGATGTGTTACAACAATGTTCAGAAATTGTAAAAATAGGGGGAAAAAAACCCTTTATGATGTTGCCTTCTTTTCCTTTTAAACCTTTTTGAGTGCTTCTTTATCTGATTGCTTCCTAACCTTCCATTTTTCCCAATCTAACAATCAATAAGGTATTGGACAGCAACTTGCTTAGGCAGTTGAGATGTATTCCATATCTTCCAACCAATTTCTCACTTTTTAACCATGTTTCCATCCTTTTAACTGTTAAATAAGCAATAAAGTGTCAATCCACCAACTTTCCATAATATCAAGTGTTTTTAAAGACATATTTACACAAAACTCAAATTTTCCAATGAAAACAAACATTTTTCTAATTAATTTCCATTTGATAATAGCCTATCTAGACATTCTAACAATGTTGATCTCTGGAGGAAAAGTATGCTTGTTTCAATCTACAAAAACAATGGAGATATCCAGAATTGTTCTAACTATAAAGGCATTAAGCTTATAAGCCATATTATGAAGTTGTTGGAGAAAGTTATTGAACATCACTTGCAAAGAAAAACCAATGTATCTCTAAATCAATTCACATTTATATTGGAATGATATACTATGGAGGTTATTTTCTTGGTACGATAATTGATGGAAATATATTGAGAAAAGAAGAAAGACTTAATATGGTGTTTATAGATCTTGAGAAGAAAAAAGAACCAACAAAGTATGTATAGTCAATCAAGGATATGTATGATGGTGCTACTACACGTGTGAAGACTTGTAATGGAACATCAAATTATTTTCCTATCATGGTAGGTGTACACCAAGGCTCTTCTTTAAGTCATTCTCTTTTTGTTGTCATTATAGATGAACTAACAAACAATATCTAAGATAAAGTGCCATGGTGTATACTACTTGCAAATGATATTATGATTATTAATGAGACTAAGGCTGGTGTTAATAGAAAACTAGAATTGTTGATAAGCATGTTAGTGTCTAAAGGATTCACGCTAAGTTGAAGTAAGACTAAATATATGAAGTAAAAATTTACTTCGGCAAAAGATGGAGATCAAGAAAGTTGGAGTAAGCCATATTATGAAGTTGTTGGAGAAAGTTATTGAACATCACTTGCAAAGAAAAACCAATGTATCTCTAAATCAATTCGCATTTATACTAGAAAGATATACTATAGAGGTGATTTTCTTGATACGATAATTGATGGAAATATATTGAGAAAAGAAGAAAGACTTAATATGGTGTTTATAGATCTTGAGAAGAAGTATGATAGGTTCCAAGAAAGGTTTTATGGTGTGGTCTTGAGAAGAAAAAAGTATCATCAAAGTATGGATGGTCAATCAAGGATATTTATGATGGTGCTACTACACGTGTGAAGACTTGTAAGTTGTAATGGAACATCAAATTAATTTCCTATCGTGGTAGGTGTACACCAAGGCTCTTCTTTGAGTCATTCTCTTTTTGTTGTCATTATGGATGAACTAATAAACAATATCTAAGTTATGTGTCTCAAATTTATTATGTATTAAAGGTTAATATGAGCATGAAAATGATTTAAAAATAATTAAAAGTTATGAGAATTATAATTAAAGTGTTATTTTATTCTCAATAATATTCTCATAAAAATTATTATATTTTGCAGTTATTTTCAGCTCAATAAAGAGATAAATTGAAGAGCTCAAGAGGATTTGCTTTGGATTTATGAATCATATAATTTATTGAAGATCTTATTGAAGATTCTCTTGAATATTTTTAGGGAAGTTTTCCTTTAAATATAAAAGGGGAGATTTGAAGGATTTGATTAAAGATATGATTGGAGATCCTAGTGAAGATTCCATTGAAAATCTTATGGAAATTAAAAGATATGATTTCATCTCTATAAAAAGGCAACTCTTGGAAAAAGAAAGCGGGTTGACACATTCAGAAAGAGAGAAGTTTTTGCTGGAGATTGGAGAATTTCATAGAGAGAAGACTTGAAGAATTGGGCGACATTGATTTTTTTTCTTCTTCGTCTTCATGACTTCTTCTACTTCTTTTTCTTTCTTTGTTTTGTTTAAGCCAGTTATGTCTAGCTAAGTTTCTTTTGTAGTTAGGGTTATGGATCCAACGTGAATCTTTGTTTGGTATAAATTGTTTCTTTAATAAATTGTCTCAAATTGTTAGTGTTTTATCCTGGAATAATTTTATGCATTCTTGCATGACTTGATCATTCATATAGGGATTTGAGGGTTAGGGTTCACAATAGAAATATTAAGATTTTAATCCTGATAGGGGTAAAACATCAATTCTTGCATGATCTAGACATAGGCTTGTAGAAATTGTAAACTTTTATAATTCATTGCGCTTAAGGCTTAATCTAAAAGGGATTACTAAGACATTACAATTTCAATTGGGTTAAAGGGTTTGAGTCACTAAAAAATTAGGATTTAACCAACCAATTAATTAGAAGATGAATTATTTGAAACAATTGAGATAAATTGTTATTTAAAATAATTTAAACTACTCAAGGGGGATCAGAGGTAAAGTATTCCCTAGCTTCAGTCTTGTTATTGATTTCTTTAATTTCGTTTTAATTCTCTGCGTTCTTTGCATGAATTATTTTAATTGCAATTGTCTTTAAATTTAGTTTTATTTTTAAAAATTACTCTTCCGATTACTTTGTTCTGTCCAAATTAAAGGAATAGCGAGAATATTGCTTGGTGCAATTAATCCTCGTGGGACGATAACTCTACTCACTTCTTTATTACTTGTACGACCGGTATACTTGCTGTGATCGCAACACTAAGATAAAGTGCCATGGTGTATGTTATTTGCGGATGATATTGTGCTTATTAATGAGACTAAGGTCAATGTTAATAGAAAACTAGAATTGTTGATAAGCATGTCAGAGTTTAAAGGATTCACGCTAAGTTGAAGTAAGACTGAATATATGAAGTGAAAATTTGATCCGGCAAAAGATGGAGATCAAGATTTCGTGCATTTGTTTGGACAATAGATACTCAAAAAAGATGATTTTAGATATTTGGGATGTATTTTGCAAAAATGTGAAGACATTGATGAGGATGTAAACCATAGAATCAAAGCAAATTGGGTTAAATAGCACAGTGCATCAAGATTTTGTGTGATCGCAAAATTCCTATGAGGCTTAAAGAAAAGTTTTATAGAACAACAATATAAGACCTGCAATGTTATACATAGCTAAATATTGATCAACACATAAGCAACATGAGTATAAAATGGGAGTAACATAAAAGAGGATGTTAAGGTGAATGTGTTGTCGTACAATGATGGATAAGATAAGAAATAAAAATATTGGACAAAATGTAAGAGCGATATTGATGGTTGAAAAGATGAGAGACCATAGATTAATGTGGTTTGGGAATATAATGCGAAGACCCCTAGATGCTCCCGAAGAATAAAAGTTTCTTATCAAGAGCCTGATCAAAAGAGAGGAAGATGTTGGCTGAAACTTGAAGAAAAGTAGTAAAACAAGATTCAAATGAGTGAGATATAAATTGATGGATTCTCTTAGGACAAATTGGAGGAAAACTATCAGCATTATAAAGAGTTAAATCCATTTTTTTTATTCTTATGTTCCAGATGGTCTGTTTTTAGTCATTTTTTTATATCTCCCTCTATTTAATTTAAAATTTTGAAATAAACTGAAATTTTCAGGATATTTTATAATTCATTACCATCGTATGCTCACTGATCATTGATCTGTTCATGGCTAAATCTCAAACGGATGAATTATAGCATTTTACTAACCAAAAAATTGTCATCACTTCTTCCGGTCATGCAAAAATAATTATCATTCACAAGGCATATATATTTACTACTGAAAAACATGTAACTTTAGAGAGAGAAAAATGATATAAATCATACAATCATAGTTCAATTCTTATCAAAATGTTTACAAATGATATCCGGAGAGATTCAAAAATGTTGAAGTCATGATTCCTAATAAACAAGAAATTTGTTTAAAATTAATTTTGTATTTTTTAACCTTAATTTCAATTATCTTTGTAGTATAATCATCCTATTTTTATACCTTCCTATTTTTAATTTTTATAAATATGTTCATAACATTTTCTTAAAATACTTAGAAATTCATTATGCAATTCATGTGAAAGCTTATCTTAATACATTTTACGTTTTTAGGGTCTAGTTTGATTTTACTTTTTTTTCTAAAATTTAGTTCGGTCTAATAGTTTTGGTCGCAGACAAATTAAGTACATACATGAATCATTATAGCAATATATTAAATAAGACAAGACAAAAAATAGAAACAAAAATAAGGTATTTAATTAGTCTATGATTGAGGATTGAAAATGATTTTGCTTGCATAACTTGTGCTCTCTGTGTACTCTTATCCTAAATTCCCTCCGCAAGTGAAGGTTTACTCCTATAGAGATGGCTGAAACTGAAACAGAAACTCCGCTACTGTTGTTGGAGACGGCGGTAGACGGCGTCGTCGACTTCAAGGGCCGCCCAGTTCGGCGGTCAACCTCCGGTGGTTGGAGAGCAGCTGCCTTCATTATAAGTAACAATCAATCTGAGTGAATCTGATCTTCAACTTTTTTTTATTTTATTTTAAATTTACGATTTATTTATTTTGCTTACTTACACTACAAATCTACAATAGGCGTGGAAGTAGCAGAGAGATTTGCTTACTATGGAATCACCTCGAATCTGATAAATTATTTGACGGGGCCACTTGGTCAATCGACGGTAACGGCAGCGGAGAATGTGAACATCTGGTCTGGAACTGCTTCATTGCTCCCTCTGCTTGGTGCTTTTCTTGCTGATTCTTTTCTTGGCAGATATCGCACCATCATTCTTGCGTCCCTTCTTTATATTCTGGTATTTTTATTTTTTTCTCTTCTAAATAACCAAATCAATAGAAAAATTTAAGCAATTGGGCGACGGTAGATTAATAGTTTTATATTTCTTTAATGGGAAATAATTTTAATGTTCTGTTTAGGATAGATATGTCTAATCTTGTGAGTAGTGTTTTAATATTGGATCCGTGTGTCCTTTCTCAGCTATTTATATATCTTAGACATGAGTAAATCACTATGCACGATATAGCCTGGGTGAGCTGTATGCACATTGACGGGTCACAGCCAAGAAAAAGATGGTTTACTTATTCACTTGACTCTTTATTTATAGATGGGTTAAGAGTGAACTCCTGGGCATCTTAAAAATTAGCGATCCAATCGTTAGGATTAATATAATTATGAAATATTTTCTTAATTCTCTTTTACCCGTTAATCCTTTTTGGACCTTCTAGGATGTGAGTCTTTGTCAGTCTATAACACTTATATTGTAGGAAAAGTGTTCTATCATGTAGTGGAAATAAAATTATAAATGAGATCCGTAAATAAGAAGAGAAAAAAAAATAGAAATGGGATCTACCCCTCTTTTGTGTATGTAGAAAATTTATTTCTCTTATAAAACATAAGAGAAATATATCCCTTCTTTAACAAACGAAAGATCATTGAGCTTGATACATCGTACCAAGACTACCTCTATTAAAAAAAAATTATAATATTTAATTACTTTTATAAATAAAATACGACATTTATGATAAGCTTATAACCACTCAGTTCTATGCCATGTAGAGAACTATAGTTTGGGTTAAGCTATGTTAATGTTTTTATATTTCCTTAGCATTTTTAAACAAAATCAAAAGAAATTTTGTTTGGGTTGTAAATAAGTGCGAGTTTCCCTTAGAAATAAGATCCAATTGTTTTATTGGGATGAATTGCAGGGACTGAGTCTGTTGACGTTGTCGGCTATACTTCCTGTAACAAGCCAATCAATATTGTTCTTCTTTTCTCTGTATCTTGTTGCACTTGCACAAGGTGGACATAAGCCTTGTGTTCAGGCTTTTGGAGCTGATCAGTTTGATACGAACGACCCTGAGGAACGAAAGGCCAGAAGTTCCTTTTTTAATTGGTGGTATTTTACTTTTACTGCAGGTGTCCTTGTCAGTGTTTCCATCTTGAACTATGTTCAGGATAATGTTAGTTGGGTTCTTGGGTTCGGAATCCCTTGCATTGCCATGCTAGTTGCATTGGCTCTTTTCTCACTTGGAACATGGATTTACCGCTTTAGCATCCCAAGGGAAGATAAAGGCCCTTTTTTTAGGATTGGTGGCGTGTTTATTGTTGCACTAAAAAATTGGCGAACTACCCCTTCAGCAATCGCTTCTGATGAGGAATCTCGTGGCACTCTGCCTCACAAAGCTTCTGAACAATTTAGGTAACAATCAACATCAACAAGCTTCTTTTTTTACCTCATATTTTGATGCCTTATTAGAGTTTTAAAATAAGAAACAATTACAACTCCTCTAACCTAATGAAATGGAATTTGGATTAGCATCAATTAACTAAGGAACAACTGTTTTCTCTGGATAGTTTTGAACTAAACTAGATTTCATTCTCCTAGTCATTCGGGCAATTTTAGAAACGAAGTTATTGTCCATTTAACACCACTCCCCAAGTAAACCCGAGTAGCGAGTGTAGGGTGAGGGTAATTCTTGTATGCAACTTTACCCTTGCAAATAATTGCAAATAGGCTGTTTTCCTGATGCGAACCCGTGACCTTTCAGTCACAAAGGAACAACTTTACCACTACTCTGGTTCGCACTCTTACTTTATTGATGTGTTTAGCCCATAAAAAATAAGTTTATATTTACCATATATAAACTTTTTTTTGGGGGGTATAGATTATATAAACTTATTTTGTATGTCACTGTCACTATAAATAACCTTGGGATTATTTTGTCATCATTATTTTTTGGGACCATACTACTTTCTCTTTATGGAGCAAAATTTCTACCATAATTAGAGGGATTGCTAGATTTGTACTTTGAGGGCATAACTGATTTTATTATTAATTTTTGCTGAAATAATTTTGGCTTGCACATTACACTGGTTTACTGCAGTTTCCTGAACAAAGCATTAATTGCATCAGACGGTTCAAAGGAAGAGGGGAAAGTTTGTAGCGTTAGTGAGGTTGAAGAAGTAAAGGCAGTCCTCAGGCTTGTTCCAATATGGGCTACGAGTTTAATTTATGCTATTGTGTTTGCTCAGTCTTCTACCTTCTTTACCAAACAAGGTGTTACACTGGACAGGAAAATTGTGCCTGGTTTTGATGTACCCCCTGCTTCTCTTCAATCCTTTATTAGCCTCTCCATTGTTATTTTTGTTCCTGTCTATGACCGCATTATTGTTCCCATAGCTAGAGCTTTTACTGGTAAACCCTCTGGAATCACAATGCTACAGAGAATTGGAATTGGGATGTTTCTTTCTGTAATTTCTATGGTAATTGCAGCTTTTGTGGAGATGAAAAGACTCAAAGTGGCTCGTGAACATGGGCTAATTGATATGCCAAATGTGACAATTCCAATGAGCATATGGTGGTTAATTCCTCAGTATGTGTTGTTTGGAGTCGCTGATGTGTTTACAATGGTAGGTCTGCAAGAGTTTTTCTATGATCAAGTCCCAGATGAATTAAGAAGTGTTGGTCTTGCCCTCTATCTAAGTATTTTTGGGGTTGGGAGCTTTCTGAGTAGCTTTCTCATCTCTATTATTCAGAAAGAAACTGGAAAAGATGGCAGTGATAGCTGGTTTGCTAGTAATCTTAATCGTGCGCATCTTGATTATTTCTATGCAGTTCTAGCTGCTCTTAGTGCGGTGGAGATGTCTGCCTTCTGGTTCTTTTCGAAATCTTATATTTATAAGAGAAGAAGCTCATAAAAGAAGCTGAAAATCTGCAACATAGGGTTTTGCTGGGGAAGAATTTAAATTCATATATGTGGAATTCACTGATCAGACTTTTGGACAATCTGTTGATCCATTTTTAGGAGATATGGTGCACGGCTAATAGTCAACTGGCAAATGAAATTATAAACCAATTTCATTTTTTTTATTTTATATTTTATGATACGATGATGATGCCGATGTAAACTATAATCTCATGCATACTGGTTGTATAGCTAGACGCCTAGACGCGTGCTTTTCTGAGTACATTGTATGTTGGAGTCATCTCATTTATTTTATATGTATATTATTTCTATACGATATTATATATTTATACAGAATTAGACAGGTGTGCAACATAATAAAAAGGGGTAATACTTTTTTCATGTTATAACAAAAATCTTCTAAGCTCATATTTTTTAAATGGTCTCATAACTTTTTTTTTCTCTTACTTTTACCTCTTTTCTCTCTTTCTGTTTATTGTTTAGGTAGGAAATAATATTTTTATCAAAAGTATTATCCGAGAAAAAAATGGGTCTATTTTTTTTAAGCTTTCTTCCCATGTGTTCTAAGACAAACAATTGGTCTTTATTTAGTCATTTTTCTCTATATTTTTCATTCATTTATTTTTATTTAATTTATTTCCTCTTTGTTTTATTTTTTAATTATTTATTTTTATTTTACTATTTTTTCTCTTATCTATGTTTATGTGTATTTTTTTTATTTAATTATTTTTGCCCTTTTTTTCTCTTAATCTTGTTTTGTTTTTTACTTGGGTTCATCCACTATTAATTGGAATAAAAGTTTTGTTGATGAAATTGTGATTTCGGATCAAATATTTTCTATTTATAATTATGTATACGATATTTTTTTTACAGCACTTAATGGATGCAAAATGCTTCCACTTACAATCTCTGATCATTATTATAAATTGATTCCATATAATATAAAATAATCTGATCATAGATAGATAAAAATAAAAGAGTAAATAGAAGGGGGGAAATTCTAATCTCGATCCACACAAAAAATAGAGAGTATAATTTGGAGTGCACTCAAATAAATTTACGCCTGAATACGATACCTGGATCACGAAGGGAAGTTATTTGTGATCCAAAGGACAATGACTAGGGGTTCACATTAATAAAATATGAAAGTATAGGATACCTAGACATATGTATATGTATATATTGATATAAGTATATGTAGGTATATATTGATATAAGTATATGTATATATTGATATAAGTATAGTCTGTGTATCCGTGTTTTAAAATTCGAACCAGTCATTAATTAGGTTGAGATATTGGGTTACTGGATTATTGGTTCACCGAATATATTGTTCATATACTAAAAATATATAAATATACAATGAAAATGAATGGTAATAAATTCTATAAGTGAAGGAAGAATGTTATCTCTATATGCAACAGAAATGGCAGCATTATAATTTTTATCTTAATAATTTGATAACTTCCAATTTTTCAATCAAATCATCGTAAAGGTAACTAGAATGCATAAAAAAAAAAGAACAATATTAACTAAATACATAAAAATAAAAGAATAATACTAATTAAATTATGTAAAAGTGATGCATTCTATCATCTCTCCTAGTCCAATCCCTTCAGAGAGGTATAAGAAATTTATGAATCAATGTTAAAAGTGGATCTCACGAATCAACAACCATAACAAGCTAGTAAAAAAGCGAGGCAGAATAAGATTATAATCTTCAAGATTTTATGCATTTTGAGACGATACAAAGCAAATGTCAGATAACAAATTATTGCACTATGGATATTTCTTATAAATATAAAAGCATAACCGATGAAAACAATAATAACGATTATCCAAATGCTTTCATAAAATATAGGTTTTTTCCAATTACAGAATATATTAATAGGAAGAAAAGAATGAATGCACATATGGTAAAGGATAAATAGTTGGCTATTATACATAGTCTCAATCAGAATTTTTTTTATGTTGAAAAGTCAAATTATTTTTAGGATTTTCCTTGTGTTTCCGGCTCATAATGTAGATCTAGCTTGGTTAAGACTTCCCTCTTTCTTTTGTTTAAATAAGAAGCAAACTAAAAAAAAAAGTCAGTTTTCAAAAAAAAAAATATATGGGTCAAACGAGTTTCGTTTATCTCACCGAGTCCCTGAGATTCGGTCGGGTCAATCGGTTATTGGTCTAAATTGAGTCAAGTGAATGGCCTATTCAAATAGCCACTTGAATCGGTGCCCTCACCGAGTCACTAACACCTGGGTCGATCCGAGTTTTATAATACTGGTGTAGTGTTCAATTCTCATTATATGTTCATTTGTGTAATGAAGTGTCGTGTGTGTTTTGTGTCGGTGTTGGTACAATATAAGATATGAGAGAGAGAGAGAGATATCCTTATGGGAAGATTGAAAGTCTAATCCCAGCAAGGCAGCAATTGGGTAATTTACGTAAAAAGTATTTATATGGGTCATGAGTCCATAAGCTATTAACGGGATAAAGGTTATTAAAGTAGTTGGGCCAGGACTCTTAACCGAAGCCCAGAATCCAGTTATGGACTCGGTACTGTAGAAATGCAAACGCACCAGATACGAAGAAAACCCATAAATCAAATCTAATCAAAGAAAGGCATTAACATTACCAGATACGAGAAAAAAGAAGAAGGAATAAGCAGCAGAGGTGGTTCTGTTCCTCCAAATGGGTGTCAACAAAGAAATGATTCCGGCAGAGTATGACCTCAATGCCAAATGGGACGCATGCCTTGATCTCACTGTTCGCCGCTTCGTTTACTCCTCATTTGCCGGTGCATTTGCCGGTCTCTTATTTTGCAGTCAGTACCTTCTCTCTCTCTCTCTCTCTCTCTCTCTCTCTCTCTCTCTCTCTCTCTCTCAATTTTCTTTAGTTGGAGGTTCTGTATTTTGGGTATTATGTGCTTTGAATCTATCTTTTCTCCAATATTATTGCGGCATGACTTCGTTTTTTTTTTCCTCATACACACTCTTTGATTGCCTCTTAAATTAATATAAAAAGGATGGGGTGCTTCTCTTAGTGGTATCTGCTTTTCATGATTCTAGAAGAAAACACCGCAATTGGAACAAATATCCTTATTACATATTTGATCTTCCCTATTATATCAACCCCGGTTCAAAGGGACTCCCTCATATTCCTCTTAATTCTATTCATTATCCCCCTAGCTTCCCAAAGAAAGACGATTAATTAGGACTAAGGAGGAATGCTAGATGACGCAGCTATTTTGTGTGTGTGTGTTTGTGTGCTTTCAACTGAGATTTCATTCATAGCCTGAGGTTGAAATCTGTGTCATTTTAAGATGATTGTTACTTTTTTCATGTTTCACGTAGTCCCTCATTAGAGCAAACTATTTTCTAAAAAATATTTTGATTTTGTTGTTCCAGCAATGTTCATATCTCTGACGTCTCCAGCATCCTTGAGTTTTCTTTCTAGCCATGTTTTGTGGAGCCCAGATATATTTTTTCGTTATTTTTCCTTTTTAAAGGGTTTATTTGTAACAAGCCTAAAGCTTATTAAGCTTATAGCTTAAAATAGTTTAGAGTATTTTAGATGATCTCTTAGGAATAGTTCCCCTATTTCCTTATATTTTATGATGTATTTCCTTATTCTAGGAGCCCCCTATTTAGTGTAAATAGGGCTTATTACTTTATATTTTTATTACATCCTTCACAACCATATCAATATAATTTTATTCTAAGTATTCATTTTCCTCCCTTTATACCTAAATCCCTATAATCTCAACAATTTGTTTCCTTATGTTATTAATACTTTAGTCTCATTCTTAGTAGAGTTGGGTCTGTACTACTTGTACTGGTACTTGATCTAATTATTAGAATAAATAGGAGTATTAGGTTAGAGTATTGTAAAGCATTACATCCTATCAATAATGTATTCCGTGTTATGATTGTTACATGTCTTTCTCTCTTTTCCTTCTTCCCGAACCCTTAACCTATAGTTCTTTATTAAAATGTAACTTGACTCTGATAATTGCATACTGATGAGGTACGAAGTACTCAACACCGAGTGTTTTGTTTACTAATTCAGATCAAACTCTTAATCATTTAGCACATGGAGCTTCTAAAAAATATCAGCATATTTAAAGTTTTTTATTTTAGTATCTATTAGAAGGTAAAAGAGAGGAAAGGAAAAATATTGATTTCATTGATTTGTGGTAATTAATTTGTACAATATGTGAGCTCTTATATAGAAGAGCATAAGAGAAAAGAGAAAGATCTAGAATATCACTGAAATACTAAACTACCCTTATACCTAATATCTAATACTCCCCCTCAAGATGGAGAGTGAACAGAGAGAACTGCCATCTTGAACAAGAAAAAGCAAGAAAACATAATAGCAAAATAAAAAAAAATAGAAACCAAAATCTTCAGTGTGCTGGAATGAGCTTCAGCGAAATCAACTGTGCTGGTATGGACATCAGCTAAGGATGGGATGGCTGGGATAGACATCAGCCACGAAATACTAAACGGTGCCGGGATGGACATCGGCAAAATCAAATGTTCTGAAATGAACATCAGCAAACTTGAATAACACCACAAACATATGTGGGAATAAAATCAAAATTGCCAAATAGTGAAAAAAAAAAAAGGCACACATATCCATAGCAGCGCCAAACAAAATCTGAAACCAGGAACAAGTCTGGGATATGAATAGACCGGAATGAACATCGGTCATGAGAAAATGCCGGCCGGAAAAGAAGACACAGCCGGAGAAGATAGTCACGGCTGGAGATGACCGGAACAAGCCTCAATGAGCGGCGGAAACATTAATCAGACCGGGACAGATCTGGAGAAGACAAACATACTAGGAACAAGTCCGATGAGAGCAAAAAAAACAGATCGAAGAAAAAAAAAAATGTGTAGATCAGATTTGACTAAAAAATAGAAGAAAATCCAGAAAAATGATCACATAAAATCTCTGCATAGCAACAACACGTAGAGAGTCTAGTAAATCCACGCAGAAGAAAAAAAAAAAAAAAAAATCAATATCAGAATGGGATTCATGTTTAGATCCTGAGAGCAGATCCGAAAATGAGAGCGACGACAAGCGGTGGTGAGAAAACCTGTGTAGCAGGGGAGGTTGGATGGCGACCATGCCTGAATCTTCGACAATAGAAGTTTCACCCATGACAGTTTGAGAAGAGAAAGAGAAAGACGCAAGAGTTTCACAGATCCAAATCAGATCTGGAAGAACAGAGACCAGAGTGGCGACAGATCTGTGCGACGATGAACGACAGAAGGCAAATGAATGACCGGAGATGATGACCGGAGAAGGAGACGCCCTGAGGAACACGTAGAGATAAAAGGTTTTCAGGAAAGCTATTGAGGAAGACGACCTGAAACCAAAATTAAAAAAATAAATAGGAAACAATCTTAGCTGGGCGGAGAGATTGATTGACGAAAATGGGAAGAAAAGAAAAAAGGTGCATAAAAAAAGGGATATGTATGGCAAAGCTCTGATGATAAAATGAAGGAGAAAGAGTAGCTCTGATGATAAAAAAAATTTCGCAGATCGGGATCAGATCCGGAAGAAAGGAAACAAAGAGGAAAAAAAAAAAAAATGTGATTGCAGCGGAATCTCCATTCATGGAGGATAAAAATGCTCTGATACCATATTAGAAGGTAAAAGAGAGGAAAGGAAAAATATTGATTTCATTGATTTGTGGTAATTAATTTGTACAATATGTGAGCTCTTATATAGAAGAGCATAAGAGAAAAGAGAAAGATCTAGAATATCACTGAAATACTAAACTACCTTTATACCTAATATCTAATAGTATCATACCGATATTGTTATATAACTTTGATTGAGTGCTTAACCATGTGTTTGCTACATGCAGATCTGGATGTAAACTGTTCAACTGATTTTATTTACAATCCTGTGCATGTTTTCTATTAGTATGTCTATTTTTGTGTGCACTAAGAAAATGGGTTTTGAAAGTCCTATTAGTTTTGCGTTGTTGGACTTGCATGTCTTTGCATAATGCTGCTTCTCAGGCTGTTCTGGTTGCATTGAAGGCCAATGTCAGCTCAAAAAAGAATGTATGGGTAGTATGCTGCCACTTAAATTGTCCCACAAAAGCATTTAAACTTAAGATTACTGGTCAGTTTTCTTAAAACAGTGGTCAATAATGATCACTTATTTTGCAAAGTCAGCTCAGCATGCATTTACAACATATAAGCCAATTTGTTGAGTAAGTGTTATGATTAGATTTGTCATTAGTAGTCTCATGTAATTAGAAAATTTGGTAACTATAATCAATTCGTGCTGGTGATTCTTTGTATATTATAAAAAAAGAGTTTTAGTTATTTTTTTGTTGGTGATTTAGACTGGTGTTTACGATGTTTTTTGATTAGAGAAGTATAAAATCATTAATGTAGCCTAACCCAATAGCTTAAGCTTTTGGGTTGAATTGGTTCTTTGCTGGTATTAGAGCCTCGGTGTCGGGTTCAATTCTCACCGCCCCCATTTAATTAATAATTAATTAAGTCTTGTGGAGTTTCTTAGCACAGGTAAGCTGGGCCTGATGCATCATCCACTCTTCAAGCCCAGTGGGCTCTTGTGTGAGGGAGCGTGTTAGAGATATATAAAACCATTAATGTAACCTCACCTAATAGTTTAAGCTTTTGGGTTCCTTTGGTTCTTTACAGAGCTTCGGTGTCACGGGTTTAATCCTCACCGCCCCCCATTTAATTAATAAATAATTAAGTCTCGAGTTTCTTAGTACAGATAGGTGAGCCTGTGCATTATCTACTCTTCAAGCCCAATGGGCTCTTGTGTGAGGGGACGCGGTAGAGAAGTATAAAACCATTAATGTAGCCTCACCCAATAGCTTAAGTTTTCAGGTTGAATTGGTTCTTTACATCTTTTTATGATACAATACAGGAATTTTCTACGTATTATCTGCCTTATCTCCCAAATATAATGAACTATTTCTGCATTCCATTGAATATGAAGACTTGAATTTTTGTGGTTTTGAGAGCTCTCAAATTATTAGTATTGAATTTATCCAGTTATTCTAATGTAATAGGGAGTCCTCTGACTCGCTGGGCATCTATTGCTTTTGGTGCTGGAGTTGGAATTGGATCTGCATACACAGAATGTTCTCGTCTGTTTGATGGACCTCCAACGAAGTTAGCACTACCTAATGTCTCAGAGACTCCTACTCAGGTAGGATTTGTCTTTTATTTTCTTGTTTATATGTAATCATTTAGCATGATTTTCTAAAACATCTGTGATATGTCGAAAGCTACACTAGTAGGCGGAGATATAGTGTTAAGAAAGGCATACTTTCTGTAACCGGAAACTGTGGGTGGGTGCAGGGCAGCATGTTACTTTTACTCATTACTAATCTTGCAGGCAACTTGTGCATTTAAAGAAGGCAAATGCACTTCAGCAGTTCATCTGTCACTGTAGAGGAAATTTTTTGCAGCAACACATATTCTGGTTTTTTATTTTAAATGTCAGGATCTACATATGGATCCTAGTATAAATGTGTTTGTTGCAAAATTTCTTATCTGCAGCAACAGTAGAAGTGACGAACCCTTTAAAGAATTGGAAAGCAAACATAACTATCGTGTTTCTTGCTTTTGTTTCCAGAATGTGCAGGACTCTGAGTAGATGCTATAACAGGTCCTGGTTCCTGGACAGTGAAACAGAATTTTCTTTTGATGGTTCTTTACACCATTATAGTTGTTGAAGATGTTGTAATACCATGATTTCATAAATGAACAACATCATGTATGGAGATTTCATTCCCAAGCTATTATCCTTTTGTTCTCCTGTAATCTCGCCCTACGATTATGTGAAGGGTTCTAAAAAGTAACTGATTTGATTTTCTGTTTAATTACTTTCAATCCGATCTAGTATGATTTTTGCATTACTAATGTCTTAAAAATTAAAAATTGAATCGGAGATTGAACTGGCTTGTCGTTGTTCAATTAGTTTAATTGGTTAGACTAATGATTAAACTAGATATTAATAATTAATACAATAATCATATATATCTTAATAGATTTAATAACTAATTGTGAAATACACAACACACAATATAATTGAATTGCTTGATCTCGGTTCAACATGGTATTCAGTTTGTGGTTGGCTACCCTTTTTGTTGCACCTCTCTCGGTTGCCTGATACAATGGATCTGCTGTCATGTGTTCATTCTCTCCAATTAATTTTGTTCTTTTCTCTCTGCTCATCTGGCATTCCCTTTGCTCATTGCTGCTATCATGGTTCATTACCAATTTAGGCTCCTTCATTGTCATACTCATTACATTTCCTCCTCCATAAGAATCAACCTTGTCCTCAAGGTTGAAATGGGGGTTGTGCTGTTGAATCATGGTGCTGTTTTCCCATCTGGCTTCTGATTTGTCCAAACCTTCCAAATGAATTATGACTTGATGCACTTGTTTGTTGCCTTTGAGGAGAATTTTACAGACAATGGTTGAAGGTGGTTGCAATATTGGTCCAAAATTATTGGTTAGCGGAGGCAATGGATTGTACTGTAAAGAGAGATCACCCTTGAATAGTTTCAGTCGAGAAACATGAAACATTGGATGTATCCTTACAGTGAGTGGTAGTTGTAACTTGTAAGATACGGTTCCTATTTTGGCAAATGTAGAAAATGGTCCAAAGTATTTCATGCCAAGCTTCTGATTTCTCCCAAGTGTAACGAGTGTTTCCTGTAAGGTTTGGATTAAACCAATTTCACAAATTATGATCAAGGTCACTCAATTAAGCTTAGAAGAGACTTAAAGAGGTTAAGAATTAGGACAAGAAGAGGTGTAAAAATTGGTCTCATCAATCCGCTGATCTAATCACCCGTCTATTCTCGTTTTGTTAAGCTTTCCTTTTTTTCAGGTTGAAAATATTCCATTTGCGAAAACTTTTCAGTCAAGTGTTTGATTAATTGTATGTAAATTGTTTGTTCAATCATTTAACAAATAATTAAATCTCTTGGGCAACCTAAATTATAAATATTTTCAATGAAACGACTTAAAATTACATTCTCTAATTTTATTACCGGACAAAAGACTTGACTAGAGTTAAAAGTAAATAATTAGATAGAGCTATAGTCTCATTTTACTAGTGTGCCCCTTTATTAGCTTCACATAATGAATTTTGGTTTTAAAATCCATTATCATGAAGTCAACCTGTTTCAATAGAGCTTAGTACCCCCAATGTGCGAGTCATATGTCACTTTTATTTTTTCTCTTTGGGGAAGGGGGTTTACAACTTAGGTAATTCATGGAATTTTTTATTTTTTTTTTAATTTTCCAACTATTTGTCCATTGCTCGACTAATCCAATTTGAGACAGACAGGATAACACTAACGACGAAGCTCCTTCAACTGAGTTTTTAACATATCTGCTGCGTACAACGTGAGAATTTTATTGACTGAAAAGAGAATGCATTCAAAACGTTAGCAAAATAATGTGTAGAAAAGTTGACAGGTGGTCTACTAACTCGAGTATTTATATGCATGTTAAGAGGCAAGTGCTAATTAATACATTTGTATATATAGTTTAGGAAAAAGTGTGTGTTATTTTAAAGGATGTAAAGTTGTGTCATTTTAAGTGAGAGAAAGAGATAGATAAAGGAGGAGAGAAAGTGGACAAAAAAAAATAAATGTGTGGGTCTCATCTCTTTGTGAGAGTAAAATGATATAAGTTATATCATCTAAGAGGATAAACATTTTTTCGATAGTTTAAAAGCATTTTATTTTACAGCACCAAATGATCACATAGCCAGTCTCTCATAATCACAAAGGCTTGTTCTGCATCTACATCATCTTCAGGAGATCCAGGTCGGTGTGCAAAGCCATGACCTCTACCTGGGAATATCACTACTTTGGAGGGCCCATCAATTTTCTTCCGAATATTTTCAATTTCACTTACAGCACAAAGTGGGTCATTGTCCCCTAAAATAAACAACATAGGAGCTTTAGTATCAGAAGCAGCCAGGGAATCCATCCTTGTTCCATAAAAGGAGATTCCAGTGCCAAAACAAGCACCTTGATCTTGGGCTAGAACTTCTAACACTCTGCCACCTCCAAAGCAGAAACCAATTATGCCAAGTTTTTTGGAAATTCCTGCAGCCATGAATTCATCAACCAGCCATGTTGTCCATGTGGTAATGTCTTTTGCAATCCTCTCAGGGTTTTGTCTAGCAATCCATTGTTCAAATGCAGTCTTTGGCTGGTCCTTTGTCCATGAATTTCCACGAAATAAGTCTGGAACTAGAATGCTGCAAATTGGTTTAGAACAAGTTAATATTCTAAAAAGGGTCTTACAACTTGAAAAATGCTATCATTCAATGTGCATTTTGGAACTTATATATTGATGATAACAAGGGGTTGAGGAACATACTTGTAACCATTGCAAGCTACTCGATATGCAAAATCTCTGGTGAAGGAATCCTCAAACCCAAAAATATCAGAAAGAAGCAATATACCAGTTCCATTATTATTTTTTACTGCTGTGAACAGATAAGCACGAATATTATCATCACCCTCCCCAAGCGAAAGCTCCACTCCATTGACTAATTCACATGCCTCATCATTTGTCACATCTTCCACATTTAGTAAACTACATGATATTTTTGAGTCTGCAGCGTCTTGAACTGATTTTTGAAGATTTAAATTGCACTTTTTCTGAAAACAAACTGAAGAGTTGCACTCAACAAGGTAAATATACTCCATGATATGAATAAGGGGCTCTTATGCATGAAGTAATTCAGGAATTTTGAGGTATTTATTTAAAAAGAAACTTGTTCTGGATTGGCCTTCACAGCCCAATACACTTAGGCCGGCTTGCAAAGGCCCATTAAGGGGTTGCACTTCTGCTTCCCCATAGTAAGCTCATGGATCTTAAGGTAGAGGATCTCTCACTCCTTACATAACTCACCCATGTACACATGCACAATTGTGGTGCAGCACCTCAGGTAACAGTGAGGCGTTGAGCAAAACGGATAGGCTCTTCACTCTCCCAGGTGGAATATTTCCACCTATATATACTTTTGAGCTGTATATAATCAATAATTAATTTGATTTTGATTGTGTTATTAATTATAGGAATTAATCGTAAATAGAATTGATTGATAGGAGACATCAATTCTCTAAGTAATTAATTTGATTTTGATTGTGTTAACAATTATAGGAATTAATTGTAAATAAAATTGATTGATAGGAGACATCAATTCTATAATTTTAATTTTATTTTTTAGAGTGATTTGTGGCTTGATTAACGCCCAAAATTTGTATATATAATTATCTCTGTACAAAGGAATAATATACAGACTCCCTTGTTTAACATATACCTATCCTACTACTTGAGGAGGTATCAGTAAATTACCACTTTTATGATGTGCCAAAATCTAAAGCCACCATGCCCATACACCTTCCCCTTTCTCAGCCTCGCCTGAGATAGTACTCACGATGATTCTTCAAGAGCTTTGGTCCTTATCACTATCTACTTGAGCACCCATATAACGAGAACTCCACCCCTTGAGGGACACAGAGCTAGCTCTAACTCTACTATAGCTCAAAACTCAAACACGAACTGAATTTGATATTAATTGCAAGCTTAGGGTCAAAATCCCTAAATGCATGTCTTCATAGCTACCAAGCAAGACAGAATGTGCTATATGCAAATATTCAGGACTTGTACTAGTGCTCAGGGACTGACAGACTTGGCAACTAAAGAAAAGAAATGAAAATACCTTTCATTTCTAGCCATATTTTTATAACTAAGTTGCTTTCTGAAAAAACAAACAATGACCCAAATTCTGGTTGCAGGTTTCTATAGATTTCCCGGGGATGATTGTTGATACCTTTTTAAGTATGTAAGTCAGCCAAATTATCGTTAAAAACCTGCCATTCAATTCTAGCAGACAACTGGAAGTTCCAAGGCTGAGCTTTGCTTCTCCTCACATGTCAACAGGAAAACACACATGGCAAAGAAGAGAAAAAACAACAAAAACATCCACATTTCCTAAAACAGTATTTAACTACAATAAATAAATAAAATAAAAGACAAGGGTCCCCAGCTTGTAAAGGTAAGGGTGAGGGTCGATTATACGTGTTAAAGAGATATAATATAAAATCATTAATCTAGTTTCATCTAACAATTTAAGTTTTTGGGTGAATTATTCTTTACATGGTATCAGAACATCTGTGACTAAGTGGTCACAAAGTCAATCCTCAGCACCCCTATTCTATTAATAAATAATTAAATATTGTGGAGTTTCTAAGCATAGGAAGGAGTCTGTGTATTGTCCGCCATTCAAATCCAATGGCTCTTATGTGAGGGAGCGTGTTAGAGAAATATAATATAAAATCATTAATGTAACCTCACCTAATAACTTAGCTTTTAGATTAAATTGGTTATTCACGGTATGCAACCTTTCCCTTACACTTTTGCAAAGAAACTTACTCGAACATGAGGTCACAAGGAGCAACCTTATCACTGCCGTTGCTCCAAGACTCGCTCCCAGTATTTAGGTACAATAACATCCTTAATTCCAGTAAGTGCAATTTAATCTAGTTTTGCTAATTTATTATTTAAACAGTCCTCTTAGGTCTACCCTAATTTGTTAAGGAATAGAGCAGCTATTGTTTCAAAGTTTTTTATTTAATTTTGTACTTAAATTAGATCAACAGAAATCCTATTACTAATCAACAGCTAGAGAAATTGTTATATTATGCTATAGTTGAGTCATGTGAAAGTTTTGTGGTCTTTAATTTTGTTCTGTTAATAAGATTTAGAGGATAAAGTGATGGTTTTAGGTTTTATATGAATGTGAGTGCTGACCAGCTAGCCAAGTTGAAGCAAGTTATGATACAAATGAGCACAGTGCAGAAGGACAAGGTAAGGAAAGAGACAAGGATCAAAGGAACACCAGCTTGGGCTTGGGACTAAGGGACTTGTATAGCTAGGTGATGTTATGATGATGTGGCATGTAGTTATAGGTGATTGATTATAACTGTTTTAATAAGAACTGTTCAAGCTTTTAAGTGATACCTGAGATTAGTTTCAATGCTTCAGCAGGGAGATACCATCCTAGAAATCTAAGGTTAAAAGGGGATTGCAAGGGAAGAGACTAGTCCATATTTTGGTAGATTGCTTTAACTGTGGAAGCACACACAATTGAAACTTCCAGAGAATATCTCACTGTGACTTCATCAATTGAGTATGTGAACAAATGATGAAAGGGTGCTAAAGCATTAGTATAGAGTATTGAGTGAAAAGGAAGGGAACAAAGAACATACAGTAGAGAGAAGAAGCAGAGGTCGGGAGGAGAGGCTTTGCAATGTTTAATGCAGCACAAACACAAACTGAACCCATGCTTGCTGTTGCTGTTGCTGTTGCTAACCCCATCTTCGCTTAGTGCTAATATCTGCTCCCAATAAACTACAACCTTACAAATAAATGCTTGTTTCCCAATATAGATATTGAGTTCAATCCCTTACATTGTCATTTTCCAAATCAAATAATACCTATCACACTATGCCATACCAGCCAAGAAGGAAATATACCTGTGTCCAATCCAATTTCAAAGAGGGAATTGGAACTTAGTAAGTATGATATGATCAAGTTTTAAGAACGTACAAAGAGCCCGATTTAATTTATGTAAATGTTTTTATTTTTTAAGTTAATAGCTTAGTAGTGTGTTTTTAAACAAGCCGATACACATAGTGAAAATTATTTGAAACTGCAAATGTTATAAATGATTGGTTTAGCAACCCATATTTTCCTAATTGATTTTTAAGTTTGTGATAATTTATGATCTAATGACTCTGATTTGTAAACATGTGACAACGTTGATATGCTTTGATCTAACGGTCCTCACATAAGGTGTCAATTTTTTGTTTAACATCGTTGTCAAAGAATCATACTATATATATATATATATATATATATATATATATAAGTAAAATTTATTAATTTTTTTTGTGAACAGTTAATAATATAAATTATTAAATATTTTTATTGTTATTTAATATTAATTATATAGTTAAGATTGAGTTAAAAATTATTAGTAAAATTACAAAATAAAAAGGGACAAAGAGTAAAATTTATATAAGCTTTTACGTCATAAAAAATTAATTTAACATGTAAAAAAATTAAAATAAATTTTTTAACTCTAATCAAACGAATTAAGTACAAATTTATATAAAAAATTTACTAAATTATTATCACAAATAAAACAAAACCGAATCATATAATTTTTATATTTTGAATATAAAAGTCTTTTGTATTATATTTTGCAAGAATAGAAGCAATTTTATATTAATTTATTTTATATTTGTTGAGATGGTATTATGAGAACTAATTTGATGGGTGTTGCTTCTAGTTTTTTTGGTGTTGAACTCACTAAATGCTCCAAGGGCCAATGAGCGAAAGGGGTGTTACACTTGTGGGAGCTTCAACACTTAAAGTCATGTGAACAAGTATAATATTCCGAAAATTTAATAGAAATTAATTTAGTAAAATAAAAAAATTATTGAGATTTTTTTAGTTAATGTTTTTTTTTTTTGGTGGATAAGATTTTAATTAATAGTCATGTTTAAAATTTAATAGTCATGTTTTTTTTAGTTAATGTTTAAATATTGAAGGATTTAGAATTTTGCATTAATAATGAAGAAATTTTAGAAGTGTGATTAATTATTTTTTTAATAAAAAAATAATAAGATAATTTATAGGGGACGCATAGTATCATTTAGGGGTGAACGAACCCTCATAAATTCAATATGGTTAAAGAAAAATAATAATTAAAAAATATGCAGGAATTAAGTGTCACGTAAGCGACGAAGAAGGTGATTGATTTCCTCCACGTATTCTAATATTATTATAATAGATGAATGTTATACTTACAATTTATTTTTGTTTACAACTTTTTATAACCATAATTTTAACCGTTGATTTCCGTCAATCAACGGTTATCATTTATTGTGAATTAATAATTAATTAATAAATTTAATTTACGAAAAATAATAACCGTTGATTGACGGAAATCAACGGTTAAGATTATGGTTGGCAAAGGTTGTAAACAAAAATAAGTTGTAAGTATAATCTTCCTCATTATAATAATAAAAATAATTAAATAATAAAATAAGGAAAGGATCATGATTAGGGGTGTTAACGGGCCAAGCCGAGCTTTGGTCTTAAAAGGCTAAGTCTGTGTTTAAATGTGTCAGCCAGACCAAGCTTGTTACCTGTTACAAATATAATTATCGACATGTGGCCTGGCTTATTTAAAAAAAAAAAACCTGATTTACCCTGTTTAATAAAAATAAGACAACAAAAATTTATCCAAACAGAATATACAATCAACAACACTAGTAATTGCATAAATATTTATAAATTCAATGTATATCCAAACAACATAATATAAAACAAAATCATTCAAAAAGTCTGTTTAACCAATAAAATGGAGTGAAATGAATTGAGGAGAAAGAGAGGGCATTACAAGTAGTATAAAAAATAAAAAATAAAAAATAATATACTAGGATAGCCTGAGAGGCTCTAAGGCCGAGCTTTTGAATTGGAGCCTTAGGCCGTTTTATTAAACGAGCTTTTATACAAGTTCAAGTCTGGTGCCAACAATCAATTTTAGACATGAAGTTAAGGCCTTCACGAGCCGAGCCAAAGGCCCCTGGTTCGTTTAGCACCCCTAATCATGATATCGAGTTGTTATCAGAAAGGAAAACTTGGGGAAACGAGAGAGAGAGTTTTAAAAAGAAAGAAAGAAAGTTGGAATTTTAGAGAAAATGTAATATTGGGAGTAGAATTATTCTCGCGATTTTTACCTTTTGTCTTTATTTTTACTTCTTTTCAGATATATAAGTTTTAGATATTATTGGTGCTCTGTTATTATGTTTAAATTAATGCTTCTCTTAGTTTTTGGAAATTTTGTTGATTAAATCTATATTCTTTTCGTACCAAATAAATATTTAAAGAATATGTAATTCTTAACTACAAAATTATGATGTTAACTAACCTAAAGAAGTTCATGATTAGACACTAATGTATTAAAGGATGTCTTGTTTTTTTTTGGGAAAAATATAAATTTGTATTAACCCAAAATGATATACAAAATAGACGGGGCATACCCCACTACAAGATCAACAAAATAACAGATGTACAAATCTAAAACACCAAGTGCAAGTGGCTAGAACTGATACAATAAGAGCAAGTGGCTTAAACAGATGTACCAAGTGCATGTGGCTAATACAGATGTATCAAGTGTAAGTGCCTAAAAACAAGAAACATGATCTTGTTAATTACACCATTTACAAAAAAGGGAAATTCTCAAAAAGTATCAAATTCCTAGTTGTCCATATGCTGTACACCGTGGTAGCTAAAGCCAAGCAACGAAGCTTTCCCAAAAGGCTAGAGGCAGCTCTCCTATGAGTGAGTATATTGATGGTTCCTTGCAAAGAGATGGTGCGCCTGTTGAATGGCAGCCAGTCTCTAATAATAGCCCAAATTCGTCTTGAGGTGTTGCAAGAGAACAATAAGTGATCATGGTTCTCTATGTCAGTGTTGCAGAGAGGACAGATGACACCTCTTTTAAGGAAATCAGCCTTCTCTAGAGTAAGCAATCTATTTTTTGTTGCAAGCCATAAAATAAAGGAATTTTTTTTTTTTTTGGGGGGGGGGGGGGGATGGCTGCATTCCAAACAATAGAAAACCAATGAACCTTTGGCTTGCTGGTGCGGATGTAGTCATATGCATTGCTAGCTATACGATGATCATTTTTTACCCATGAATTCAATTTTTGAATTGCTGACTCAAGACATCCCTCTCTGTGTATGATCCGATCACGGATTGTAGCAATTCTCTTGAGAAGGATAGAGTTGGAACAATTGCTTTGGAAGTCCCAAACAGTTCCACCTTTGAAATAAAAGTGGTGCACCCAACGGACCCAAAGAGAATCCTTCTTAGCATGCAGATCCATAGGATGCGAGAAAGAAGGGCTTGGTTCCAATCTTTAAGGCAAAATAGGCCCAGGCCACCTTCTTTCTTAGGGGAACAGACATCCTTCCAAGCAACTAATGGTTTCTTTTTTACCAAGTTCGATTTGCCCCACAAAAAGTTCCTGCAATAGGCATTAATTCTATCAAGTACAGAGCAACGCAAAGGGAAAATACCCATCCGGAAATTAATTGTCCCTTGAATGACTGCACGAATAAGTTCCAGCTTTCCTGCATAAGAAAGAGTCTTGCGGTTCAATCCCAGAATAAGCCCAGAATTGATTTCAGATCTTGCAATATCGTGCATCCAGCTGGCCTGCAATAGTTTTGCTTCCAGATCTTGGATATATCGTGCATCCTCTTCTCGTTGAAGTTGGTTTCGTCTCTCCATCTCATCTATCCTTTTCAGGATTGTAGCAACAACCAAATTTGTAACACGCTGGTCCTGATTGATTTCAACTGGGATCTATATTGCATCTGGGATTTGCGCAGCAAGTGGTTGCAACCCCTGCATATATGGCGCATTCTTATTCACCGTTGGAGTTGATGCCGAATCGAAATGCACATCACTAATATGAACAACATTATGATCACCCGTATGTTGATTCTCAGGAGCGTGTGGACCCGGAGGATCCTCCTGAATCTCCGGGATTTGTCGTGGCTCAACATTCAGTAGTGGTGGCTGTCGATGACCACTTCTGGTAGTGCGTGCCATGATTTTCGTGGGATTTGAAATTTTTTATTTTCCCACAGTCGGCGTCAATGTTCTGTCTATGCGATATAGATGTCTAGCCTAGGGCTAGTAGATCAATATAGGATCTTGTGCTCACTCTAGATATCTATAAATTAGATACCCCAGGGGTCACAAATCACCGTACACAACTATGCGGCTTTAGCCAATGGGATGGTGTGTGTGCACAATGATTGCGTAATAGTAAGAGAGAGATTAGTCCATATATATGTGGTCTTTATCTCCTATTTATAGAGTTTACCTTTAGGGTGTGTTTGGTTGGGGGAAAATGTTGAGATAGATGGATAAGTGGGAAGTGAGATAATTGGGTTGCTTTGTTTGGTTTAGGGATCTGACCATTTTGCTACCTAAATGAGATTGCAAGCGAAACAACATGGACGTCTAAATGAATGAGAAAGTCGGCTAAAGTATCCGTCTTGACATATGGTATTGTATGTTAGCTAGGTAAATGGTGTCTATAGGCAAGACTGCTAATGACAAGCGTACCCTCCAATTGGTAATAAATCAATTTTATGAAATCATTTCAACTTTTATAACAGAGTTATTTTTGTAATATCATCTTTTTTTTCTCATCTATATTTTACTTACAGTCAAGCATAGACTTTATAAATGTTACCTTATTTCCCTAGTAAAGTTTTTTTTCAACCAAACAACTTTTTTTTTTTGCATTTTCCTACCATACTCACTTTCTCCCCATTTCCCTATCAATAACATTTTCTTATTATTCATAAAATTTCTCCTCAACCAAACGCCCCCTTAGACTTTGAATAACCTGGATCCCTTGCTTCATGAGCCCAACTGGCTCCTTGTTTAGCTGTCAAGTATTTACCTTTTGGTGGGCCATTTGAACATATAGGCCTCATGTAGGTTCATAACAATCATCTACTAAACTTGAAGCACCAGTATCGCAAGTATTATATGTTTGTTTAATTTTTTGTTAGATAATGACATGTGATTTATTATTTTTAATATTAAAATATTTGAAATTTGTATTATTTTTTATAGATATTTGAATATATTTATTTTTTTATAATATAAATAATAGATTTACATATACATATTGGATCATATATTTGAACCAATAACCCACTAATTAAATCAATGGTCCAATAACTAAACCGGATTACTAATCAAGCTAAGTTTAATCAAATTGTTTGAAAGGATAAATGGGCACTGCCAAGGGTTTTAATCGTGTGTGTGTGCGTCAGTTAAGCCGCCAGCGCATTTTTATCTCGCATTAGAGAGTATGGCTAACATACGCCTATGCTGTACACGGAATAGCCTCCGCCCAATTCGGTTAAAATAAGCATATTCTCCCTCTTTCTTTCCAAAGCGTCATTTTCATTGTTTCTTTCGTCCATGTCTCTGTGATCTTCTTTCTTCTGTTTCTCCACTCACTCTTAAGTTTTGTTTGTTTTCTAGTTATTTTCTTTTTCTCTCTCCTTTAATCCTCTTACTTCTTACCTTAGCGGTTGGGTCATCGTTCTCGTTTCCTAAACACACACACACACACAAACGTTAAAAATCTATTGTCTCGGTCAAAGGTCTGTATGGATCTGTGTGCCGTTAATGTGAAAAACCTTTTCCACACAAAGTCGTTTTGCCACAGACCCGTTTCCTCCAATTTGGGAAGGACTGGGGTTTCTTTCAGAGTTGTAGATAATGAGATCACAGTTTTGAGGCGTAAAGGGTATCGTCCATTTGTTGTCACTGCTTCGGGCAAGAAGAATCATGGCAACTCCTCTTCTTCTGGTCTGTAATTTCCTTTAATTTAATTAAAATTATTATTTTTCTGAATTAATTAATAGCTCTTTGTACTGGTATATGAGATGACAATTATATGCAGCAAACGACGGAGAATTAGAAATCGTGCATAATATGCATGCGAATTGCATTATGGTTTATTGATGTAATTATGATGGTCAACTTGGATTTGCGCAAAAAATTGGTGCTAGGGCTTCTATAGAAATCGATGTTTTCATGTATTGATGATGGTCAACTTGAATTGCATTATGATGTATTGATGTATTCGGTGTTTTCATGTTTACCGAACAATATGATAGTCAAAATCTTCTTTGTTTCGGTTCAATTGTAACCAGTTCTATATAATCCTTCTTTTCTTACTATGAAGTGTGAAGTTTAGTAGTTTACCCTTGGTGGCCAGAGTCCTAAAGCATTTATGTTTTGTTCTTTATTTGGGGAACTTTGGAAATTCTTTGATTTTAGCTTACTACTGCCCTTTTCTTCCACAGAATTAAATTCTGTAAATAGCACCTATCATTAGGATGTAATAGTTCATTTTTCACTTGCCGTTTAGCCAACTCTGTTATTCTGTAATGTCTTCCAATCTTCAGTAAATTAAAAACAAATCATGATTTAAATTTGAAGAGATGCATCAAATGAAAGAGTTGATCCAAGTTGTTGTTGCCTGTTGGAGTTCCTTCATGACAATGAATTGGAATTTCAGTCTAGAACTTCCTTCTTCCCTGTTGAGATATATAAAATCATTAATGTAACCTCACCCAACAGCTTAAGCTTTTGGGTTGAATTGGTTTTTTACATGGTATCAGAGCTTGAGTGACCATAAGATCACGAGTTCGATCCTCACGGCCCCCCACTTTCAAGTGGAATTAAAATAAAAAGCACAAAAAGGTAAACCAAAAATTGGGCCTGTGCATAATCCACGCTTCTAGCTCAAAGGGCTCTTGCGTGAGGGGGCGTGTTGAGATATATAGTCCCACATTGGTTATATGAGCAACTAATGTGGCCTTTATAAGGCCTTGGGCACTCCCACCCTTTGAGCTAGCTTTTAGGGTGGTGTATCTCAAGGTTCTTTACATGGTATCAGAACTTGAGTGACCATAAGATCACGAGTTCGATCCTCACGGCCCCCCCACTTTCAAGTGGAATTTCTTTATTCGCACAGGTAGGTGGGCCTGTGCATTGTCCACCCTTTAAGCCCAGTGGGCTCTCGTGTGAGGGGGGTGTTGAGATATATAAAATCATTAATGTAACCTCACCCAACACCTTTAGGTTTTGAGTTAAATTGGTTCTTTACATGGTATCAGAGTCTCGGTGTACCGGGTTCGATCCTCTCTGCCCCCCACTTTCTTTCTAGTGGAATTTCTTTCTTCGCACAGGTAGGTCCACCTACCTGTGCGAATAAAGAAATTCTACTTGAAAGAAAGTGGGGGGGCGGCGAGAATCGAACCCGGGACACGAGGCTCTGATACCATGTAAAGAACCTTGAGATACACCACCTTAAAAGCTAGCTCAAAGGGTGGGAGTGCCCAAGGCCTTATAAAGGTCACATTAGTTGCTCATACAACTAATGTGGGACTATATATCTCAACATTCCCGATATCAGAGAAAGCTCTATATTGAATTGTTGAAAATGAAGAATGGTCATCCCTATGTTTAAGTTTTTCATTTGCCAACTTGGGTGCTATGGTGATGCTTTTAGAATATAGTGATTAGTTTTGCATTTGTGTCACTTAAATCTTATTTCTTACAAACCTTGAAACTTATTCGTAATGTGAGAAAATATGGCATAATAACCAGATAAAAAGAGTCGGTGATTTACTTTTGGGTTTAGGTGAACATTTTTGGTTGACAAGCTTACCGCTTCTCATCTATGGATAGCATGGAGTTCCATATGTGATAGTTTCTTATCTTTCTCAGGGACCTGGGGTATATTTTGTTCTTATGAATTTTGAATCTAGAAGTCCTCTTTCTGTTTGGGAAGGGTAGAAGTGAGGCCAAATGTTCTTGCTACAAGATTGGTCTCTGTTAGTTATTTTTCTGTTACAAAAATTGTCATGAATGGGAATAATATATAGATTCTTTTTTTTTTTTTTTTTGCTTCCCCCCTGCTTCAATTAAAATGGAGCTATTCTTATACAGATTAAAGGCATTTCTCTTCCCTGTATTACCCCCAGTTCCTTTGCTTGTTTAATTTATTTGATACGGATACTAACCTGTTATCCGATATGCAGTTATATATCATCTATCTTATAGTGTTGAATAATGTTTTTCCTTAGTTCTTATAGTTTACACTAGTACTTGTTTAGACTTTAGAAATTGTGATACAAATCATGAATTCCCAAGCTAATTTTTGAATCGTGAGATTTAGAGACACCATCAGAAATAGTTTGAAATATATCTAATGTATAATTTATAATTCTCAGTGTAATAAATTTAAACTAAGAATTGAGAAAAACAACTTAGTGCATTTCTGGATTAGCTTATTTTGGAGAAATAATCGCTTTTTTTAGGGGTTTGTTTCTTGAGAATTTTTGTAAAGAAAAAAAGTGATTATTTCCCCAGAACTAATCTTTCCCAAACATGCAATTAACCATAAGTTTCAGAAAACAAAATCATAAGTGATAATTGAGTCTTGCTATCAACTTATATATTAGCTAATAAATAAAAAAGACATAACACATAAGTAAAGGTTTCTTGGTGCATTCTTGGGTCCCTAACCTGAGTGCAATGGATAAATAAAGGTTAGCATCCTGCAGATATTACCTCTTCAAAGGTTCTGGATTGGACTCTTGAGCTTGTTGTGCTTGTTGTGGTTAGGAATGGCCTTCCTCTTCTTTGAGAACACTATTCGCTTGCTAAATTTTCCATTTTCTTGAATTGGTTGAGATGTCTTTGTGGAAATGAGTCAAGTGTCTGCTGAGGTGTGGGTGGACTTTTGGGAGATTGTGTTTTGGGTGTGGTGTTTGTATGGGACATCTGGGAGAATATGGTTAAGGGGCTTCAGGAATCGGTGATTCAGCACCGGCTGCAGCAGTTGCAGCATCTTTGTGAGGATTGCTATATTAGGAAAGTCCAAGAGAGGGTCCAAGTGGTTTTCCTCCTCCTTGTATTCCTTCATGGTGATCTCCCCCTGAAGAGAAGGAAAGGGAAAATAGCAAAAGTTATCCCAGAAGGTAACATCCGCGGAAACATAAAACCTTTATGCGGGAGGATGGCAATATTTGTAACCCTTTTGAGTAGCGGAGTATCCGAATATATATTTTGGGGCTCTTGGGTTTAATTTTCCTCTGTTTGTGGTGGAAGGCTGGATAGGTTGATTTAGGGATAGAAGCTGGACAGGGCATGGAGAGGGCTTTGGAGGTTTAGGACTTTAATGGGGAGGCAGTTAATACGGTATGTGGCTGTCAGGACAACTTCCCTCCAGAATTGTTTAGGAACTCTCGTTTGGAATAAAAGGCTCTGGTCTTTTGTAAGTGATGGCCGATTTTCCTATTCAGCTATGTCAATTTGTTGTGGGGTGTTCACAACACAAGAGGACTCGAGGGTTATTCCTTCTTTTTGGAGGAAGGGTGACATGTGAGAGTGAAGCAGTCCTTGGCACTGTTAGTTCTAAGTTGTTTGATGCTGGTACGGAATTGGTTTTTAATCATGGAGAGAACTTTAGGCAAAATGGTGCTGATTTCAGATTTTTGCTTCATCAAGAAGATCCAGGTGACTCGGTGTAGTCATCTATGAAAGTCGCAGACTTGCGTGTCCCAAAGATGTTAGGAATTGAGTTGGTTCCCTACACATCACAATGAATGAGATCAAAGGGTTTAGGACTTCTTTCATTACTAACTGGGTAGCTGACACATTTGTGTTTGACAATTCACAAATTTCACTGTGAAGGGGGTTAACATCAGTGTTGGAATACAAGGAAGGGAATAGACATTTGATAATGTAGAATGATGGATGCACAAAGCGGCAATGGTGGAGCCAACTCTGTCTCTTATGCTATAATTGTGTGGGTGGTAGGTCTTGTTCTCTTGTTACAAGTTCTTATATACGTCTCTAGAAAATAAAAGCCATTTTGTTCCTTAGCATGTCCAAGCATCTTCCCCAAATCTCTCTCATGCAAAACACAAATTTGGATTAAAAATGGACAATAGTCAATTTCTTAATAGAAAATAGGCTAGTAAAGAGTTTGAGTACGAGGACATTCTTGAGGATGAGAAGAGGGCAACAGTCAAAAGGGTGTTGTATTTAATAGTATCTATTTAATCTTCATAACCCATTTATTGATGTCTGTATTTAATAAAAGTGTGCCAAGAAACAAAAATGTAAAAACAAGTTGTTTCTTATTTTGTCAATTTGTGTTCCTGGGTTACCGATTCATTTTCTGGAACAGAAAAATAAAATGCTTTTATCAAACACTATTTCCAACCATTTATGTTCCCCTTCCCTATACTTAAAATAAAGAAAAATATTTTTGGGAATGTTATTATGCATGCCCTATCAGAGAAAACAAGAAAGAGATGAAGGAGAGAGAGAGAGTGCAGAGAGAGTAGAAGAGAGAGAAGATGAATGTATCTGATATTTTCACTTGATGATCCAAAACCATTACACGTGAGCTCTTTATAGAGCCAAGTACAGATGCCACGTCACTAATTCTGTTTGAACAGAATTAGTTACATTCTAACTAATTCTACCTAGGCTATTACAAATGTACCCTTAACAGATATTACACATATACCACTATGCTTTACTCTAATAGTCCCCCTCAAACTCAGGGTGCATGAAACAGAGAGTGGAAGTCAACCACACTGAGTTTGTCTCTCAAAACAGCAAAGCGTGAGGCAGAGAGGCTCTTTGTGAGAGTGTCAGCGATCTGATCCACATCAGGATTATGACAAACTCGAATGTCCTTGGCCAGAACTCTTCCACGGACAAAAAATATGTCTAGCTCCATATGTTTTGTACGGGCATGAAGTACAGGGTTGTGGGACAGT